TAAGAATAATATAGAATATTAAAATCGTATAAAAATAATATAACAGTAAATAAAAATATTATTAATTTTGAGTGTTGAGGACAATCTTGCAAATTTACTAATTTTGAGTATATTTATTTAGTTCATGACCGAATATCTAATTAAAAAAATAACAATTAAATAGTGTTGAATTATAATTTTGTAATTTTATTAATTTTGAGTATATTTTTAATGTAGTTCGTAAATATATATTAATGACAAATAATGTGTACAATGATTAAAATTTTTAATACGTAAAATTTTAATACATAAACTATTAAAATAATAATATATTTTTTTGTAATAATAAAAAAAAATTATTTTAATTATTTAGGATAATTCAATGTACAATTATATTTACCAAGTTTAGTTTTCAAAAACAAGTAAATTATATGTGATCATATAAAGCAGTGCACTTTATATATTAACATAATGCACTTTATTAATAATTAAGTTGCACTTTATAAAACAACACATTCTATTTATAACCACACTACAAAATTAACGACATCACATCTCGCCCAAAATACTACACAATTTATATCAAACAAACAGATATAGATAACAATTTAACATCATTCGTATGATTTATCAATACAGAACACAATAATACTAACACACCAAAATTACAGTAGTTCAATTTATACATCAACATGTTGCACTTTATAAAACATGTATTTGCAGTTTATAAAATAACATGTTGCACTTTACAAAACACTACTATACACGTTATCACGACTATCGGATTGCTCAATAGAAATCATAACCGACGAATTCAAATCTTTTCAACAAAAAACATAATATTATTATGAACATATTAAATATAATTTGAATTTAAATAACAAATTATTTCGATATTTAGGATAATTCGGTTAACCGAACTAGACAAATCTATAAATTATGTTGATTTTTAAGTTGATCTAGACAAAAGTTCGATTGGTCCAAGTTGCACAATACAGACCGACGTTTTGCACCACATTGTTAGACGAAATGCACATTCGTAAGTGTTAGATTGAACATTATATTTCATTTACATACATATAATTTTTTTTATTAAAAAAATAATATTAAATATCCACTAAAAATATTTTAAATACTAATCATATTTTTTATAATAAATTATATATAATTTATGTCGGTTATTTTGATTGTTTATGTTAACCCATAAATCAATCCTATTATGCCGAAATTATAAGTTCGAATATATTTCATTTTGACTGTTATTTTTTTTTATTTTTAAAACGTATATCTATCCACAATATTGTGCAATTCATTTATCGAAAAAATGATGTATTTTTTAATTTCATATAACACCATATGACATTATTTTTTAAAGTGCACTCATATATAAACAATAACATGCATCTAATGTATTATTATTGTGCATAAATTAGTCTTCTTTAAATTATAAATTGCCATCCATAATAAAAATATACATAAATTTTAAATATAATAATTGCAAAGTAGTCCCCCAAACATATCGAATTTCCCAAAACAAAACCCTAACCAAAAACACCCTCCCCGTCACTTATTTCAGCCCAAATCCTCGCTGTCAGCCACTGGCCGCCGGAGTCGCCGTCATCCGCCGCATCTCCGCCGTTCCACGTACCAAAATAAGCCCCAAATCGCACAAATCATAAAAAGATCCCAGACACACTCGGTGACGATTTGTACTATGTTGAAATAGACTCGTCGCCGGCACATGAACCGATAGGCCGCCTTAGCCTCCGCCTCTTAGGCTTCCTCGCCGGCGCCTCCTGTGGATAAGAAAGTAAGGGCGGCGGCGTCGCAGGTGAGATCGACAAAAACACGCTCGGGGCGGTAAGAGAAGGGGGGAGGGTGTGGTCGCAGGTGCGGCATATTCGAATTAAGACCGGCGGCCGGCGATGAGGAGATCGACGGGAGGATGTGCTTGCCGACATTCTAATCGTCGAATTTCGCCATACCTACTGCGTCGCGGTGGATGGGTGGCGTAGGCACCGTGGAGAAACGGCGGCGGCATGGCGGCAGTGTGTGTAATATATTTTTGTGTGAATCTGAGTATGTGTAGTATGATGGTGAATCTGTGTGAATTATTGCTGTATAGGATTAAGAGTCAGAAGGGGGAGAGAGGAACTAAGGAGAGAGAATGAGTGGGGAGAGAGAAGAAAGATAATGAGTGGGGATGAAGATGGTGACTGGTGAGTGCGGCGCTGTCAATGCAGGTGAGCTGTCAGTCAGGTTATTTTACCACATTGCCCTTCTACCTACATGTATGACATCAATGTTTACCAGTAATAACGATTATGCCACCGTTAATTTAAAATATGCTGAATCCATCTCTACCGTTGAAACGCGAAATCATATGGCCTAAATTCATTCTTATTTCTTTCCCTATCTACCATTCTCACATGATCCTAACTCTATATATATATATATATATATATATGTGTGTGTGTGTGTGTATGTATATATAGTTATAATATGACATGATAAAATATTATATAAAAGTATCTAAAATTTTATAAGCCTAAATAAAGACATTATAAATTTTTTGAAAGAAAATTTACCTAGTATATATAAAATAAATATTGACATGATCCCAAATTATGACGGTATTTCTCAAAATTTGAGTATATAATATTGCAAAATTATTATTTTTTTATAAGTTTGTTACCGTTAAATAGAAATTTTGTACACATAATAATTTCACGCTTTATGCAGATTTATTAAGTTTACAAATACAGCTCAGAGATTAATGTAAAATGTAACAAATATATATAACTAATAATCAGATAAAAATTGAAGACAATATTTAATTCTACATTTCTTTTTATAATTTTTTATATGTAGTTTGGAGAGACATGTTTGATGCCACTTTATAAACTACGGAAAACATGTCAAAAAATACTTAAGTTTAACCTCACACATGCGTGTGTGTGTGTATATATATATATATATATATATATATATATATATATATATATATATAGAGAGAGAGAGAGAGAGAGAGAGAGAGAGAGATAGAGAGAGCTCCTTAGTCTTTGTCTAATGTTTAAAATATCTAAAATATTATAAGAGTTAATAATTGTTAAAAAATATTAGTATTTAGATGAGTGAAAATGATTTATTTAAAAAAAAAATTACCAAATGATTTATATTTGCAATTAGACAATTAACTTGTTTTAAGAAAAATAAATTCTGTTACGATAGTTTTTTAGAAAAAATATGTTAGAATAAATAGATAAGAGATAAGATTTTTAAAATTTATAGGGATCTTCATATGGAATTAAGTATGAACAGATTCAATTTTTTAAGTGTGAAATGGGATAAGACTTCTTTTATGTACGTTATCCCAATAAATCAACCGATTTATTTCTATATTCATAAATGTCCAACAATATATATTTCTTAGGACGCCTTTTATGAGATTGGCGGGTATTTTACATAAAATTGGCGCCAAACATCTAAAATGGTTATTCTTTTAATATAATTATAGATTTATTAAGTTTACAAATACAACTCAAAGATTAATGTAAACTGTAACAAATATATATAACTAAGGATCTGATAAAAATTGAAGACAATGTTTAATTCTACATTTATTCTTATAACTTTTTATTGTATGTAGTTTGAGAGAAAAATATGTGATAAATATACTAAATACCTCTAAAAATATTATATCACATATATATAAAGTATATACAATATTTTATATTATTCTTGAAAAATGTTTGAAGCCACTTTTCTAAACTACGAAAAATATGTCAAAAAATACTTAAGTTTAACCTCATACATGTGTGTGTATATATATAGAGCTCCTTAGTCTTTGTCTAATGTTTAAATATCTAAAATATTATAAGGGTTAATAATTGCTAAAAATATTAGTATTTAGATGAGTGAAATTTATTTTTTTTAAAAAAAATTTAACGAATGATTTATATTGCAATTAGACCATTAACTTGTTTTAAGAAAAAAAATGATTTATATTTGCGATTAGACAATTAACTTGTTTTAAGAAAAAGAAATTTTGTTACAATAGTTTTTTAGAAAAAATATGTTAGAATAAATAGATAAGAGATGAGATTTTTAAAATTTATAGGGATCTATTTTTTTATATGGAATTAAGTGTGAACAGAAGGGTGAAACAGATTAAAGATGGGATAAGATTTCTTACGTTATTCCAATAAATCAACCAATTTATTTCTCTATTCATAAATGTCCAACAATATCTATTTTTTAGGACACTTTTTATGAGATTGGCGGGTGTTTTATAAAATTGGCGCCAAATATTTTAAAAGGTTATTCTTTTAATATATAGATAGATGCGTATAAAAATAACACTAATATTGCGGTTACGCTGTCTATAACATCTTAATTCACGACAACTCCTACTGCCCAAAAACGATCATTTGACCTTCGGAGCAAACAAAACTTTATAAACCTCCGAAAAAGGAAAAGCAATAATCACGAAATCGAAAGTCAACGGAGCAAAGCATGGGATAGCTAGCTATTCACGTCAAACTCGACCTGCGGGAAAGAAGACATCTCTGGCGCGTCCGCAAAGCGGCACGCGTCCGGGTCCCACCTCGCACAGTGAATTCACAACTGCCACGTGTCCGCCTATCGAAGTTTCCAGCCATTGGCCATCCACCAACCACGCCATAATGCTAAAAATTCCGGGTTGGGCAACGGGCAGGTGCCGGTAACCATAACGAGCTCCACGGGTAACAACCGGTTGCCAAGCCTTTGGACTTGTTCAAAGATAAATAAATAGTGATTCATGCCCACCTGTTTTCAGTTTTCGGTCATCTTTTTCAACACCGGACAGAAATCCCAAGAAAGTCCCAGAAAAATTCCAACTTTTTTCTTCTTACCTCTTTAATTCATTCATTGTCTGAAAAGTTTGCAAGTTTTGATGATTTGAAGTTGTTGGTATTGATTTTGTTCACCACAAAGTTTAGCTAATTTTATTGGTTGCTGTATGTGGTCGGAGAAGAAGGATGGGAGCTGAAGCTGAGGTGGTTGTTGAGAGGAACATCTCTGTGTTGGATGTGCCCTCTTCTCAACTTGTAAGTTTTGCTTTGCTTTCTTTGTTTCTTGGACAGATTTGTGTTTTATGCTTTCTTTTGAGTCGTGGGCTTTGTGTTTTTACATTAATAAATAAAGTGTAATTATTTGCGAATTAAGGTGGTTCTTGTTCTTAGCTTGGTTTACTGCACATCCTTTGAAGCATGATTTTTACTTCTTGAATTGCATAATGTTTTCTTCTTATGCCGTGTAATTAAGCTTTTGTGGGTCTTGTTTTTCTGATTAATTTGTTAACTTCCTGGACCATTAGAGGAAACCATAAGGGAAAAAGGAGCCAAAAACAAAAGCAAATGAAGAAAAAATAATTCAATTTAAATCTACACGGGAACAGTTTGCTGAAAAATTCGACCTTGTGTGTGTTTGTCAGTGTGAAATTCCCCTCACTGGTAGGGTCGAATTTGCCTAGTGTTGCTAGACAGGACTGGAGAAGCTTTGTGACCAGTTTTCTTGTTCAAAATTTGTCTTCCTGTGTTAAAATTAGCTGCCAATTTGTACATGGTCTTTGGTTAATGTCTTACTCACCAGCAATTATAAGGTCCTCTTAACTCAGGACAAATCTGAATTTCTAATTCCAAGCTAATTGAAACACTTCTTTTTGTCCAATTTTAGTTCTATTATACTGCTAATTATATATGTAACACATTTTTCAGGCACATTCTGTTTCCTGTATTTCTCCTCACAATAACATGTAGAGTTACAATGATATGTTTTTTTTTTTTTTTTTTTTTTTTT